GGGGCTACTGCCTTTATCAAATCGTCTTCCTCAAGCTGGATTCCATCATCTTCAACAATTTCGCCTGCCTTTACGGCTTTCCAATGTCTTTGCTGAATTCTTTTGTGCTTTTGAACAGGGAATCCAGTTCAGCCTTCGTTTTTCCAAATCATTTTAAATCATCCATAGAGAGTAAAGGCGAAATTTGTCATCCTTTTTTAGCCAATTCATATCCGCAGTTTGTCTTCTTCAAAACAGTGGTCAATGGGACCATTGATTGTGGAAAAAGTAAAGACGGTAAGCAGTCACCTTGGAAAATTCCCCGTTTGATATCGACTTCTCCTGACTCTTTCCCGTTAGCCGTCAGCTTCGTTCGCCAAAGCTTCATTGAAATATTCATCAATTGCCAAAGATTTCTGCCGATTCCAAAAATGTGGAGACATTTCTCAATCCCGCTATGGGAAACAGAATTGAATGCCTTTTTATAACCTATCCAAGCCATAAACAAATTGTTCTTTTTTTTTAAATTCTTCAAAACCAACTTGCCAATCAATCACTGGTCCTTCGTTCCCCTCGAATTTGTGCAGCACCCTTTTTCTTCTATGGGGAGTAAATCGCTCCTTTTCAAATAGCTATAGATTTGATTTGCAATGAGGCCCGTAAGTAGCTTGCATAGGGTTGGCAAACAAGTCATGGGTCTGTAGTCTCCAGGCGTATTTCCCTTCTTGTCCTTCTGAATTAGGCATGTTCTTCCAGTTGTTAGAGGATGACGATGATGATTCTGAGGGCAGTGTGGCACAGTGGTTAGGGTTAAGGTTGCCGGAAGAATAGACAGGCCTGGTTTCGAGTCCATCCACAGCCATGGAAACTCCCTGGGTGACCTTGATGTTTGATGACATTTGGTATTTGATTCCCAGTTGGAAGGACTCATCCATGTTTTACTCAGGAAGCATTATCTGGTACAAAGGGGGAAGTTTTTTTGCAGCCTTTGGAACTGCAGTCTCTCTTAAATCCAAGAAATGCACCCGAAGGAAGGAAGGAAGGAAGGAAGGAAGGAAGGAAGGAAGGAAGGAAGGAAGGAAGAACCATAGAAAGCTCCAACATTTTTTTAACTGGCCTGTTTGCTCTCGAAGGAGTGTGCAAGCCCTCTGATCCTCCACCGGATTTGACAGTCGGTCCAGAGATACCTGGTTCCCATCTGTTAAACCTTCCTGCATTTTCCCACTTCTTCTTCCCACCCCAAACCCATTAGCAGAAAGGCCTAATTGTTTTAGAATGCCTTTTAATTGATCGCACTAGGAGCCTTCCATCTGGAACAATTTGCGTTCCTCTCAATTTGCCTTTCTTCCGGTACTAAATTTGTTCCATCCCGTTTCTGCCTGTTTGGGACGTTAAAAAAACAATTGAAAAATGTTTGCATAACCATTCCTAATGCATCTTTTCTGCAAAAAATCATGTCGGCCTGAGCACTTCGGTGCAGGTTGGCCAGATATCTGAAACCCGTTCTAGCATTGCATTAAGGATGGGACTGTTTTAGGCTCAGATTTATCCCCTCCTGTAGAAATTTGCTTTCTCAGGCCAATATACTGTGCAGGGTTGTCGCTGTAGAGAGGAAGTGGAGAAGGGGATCTTATGGGCATTTAC